TTTTGTAGTCATCAAATTACTCACAACTGTAATCTCCGTGTTTTTGGCTGGATCAGTATAACTCCACTGATTTCTACAAAGTTATTCCTGAGTTATGCTGCTCTGACAGTACTGGGTACGGCTGCTGGGACTGAGGGTATGTAAACTGGAATTACTGTAGATGAAACTGGTCGCTGGATTGGCAGCTCTGGGAAATTTAATCTTGGGTTTCTTCAGAGGTAAATTTTGAACTGTTTGTGACAAGGCAGTCATCTTTCCATCATTGTTTTTCAGACCTGTTCCAGAGAATTACCTTTGCTGGAGCAAAAATTATCCAGGCTGCCTTTATAATACATCTTTTATTTCTGCTGAGATAATAAAGATAGGTAACAATTAATGCAAGATTTGAAATGACTGTCAGCCTGCATGAGACTTGATAGAGACCCTCACAAAGAGCCTCTTGATTGCTCGTCAGAGATGATTTTCATTTGCTGTCAAATTGGGCCGTATGCTAACCTGCAATCAAGAGATGAATGATTCTGTAGTGGCACATGAAGACTATTAAATAGTCTTGTCTTAACTTGAGTAGTCTGTGCTGAACAGAATATAAAAAAAGACAATAATGAAGAAGTTTGTGGATGATGTTATGTGCAGTAAGTTTCAGGCCGTGCGATTTTACACATATTCTACGCCAAATTTATGAATGAATGCTCGGCTTCTTCGTAGGGATGGACGCTGGCTTGCCTGTTGGAAGGAATGCAACATGCTGAAATGAAAATGAGCAACTCTTGGCTCTGAGCAGGTCCTAGAGTTCCATGGAGCTGAAAATACCGTCGGGAAACTATTTCGTTGACAGGATGTTCCAGCCTCCTCTGTGCACACTGTCCCTGCTGACCCGAGGCAGCCAGGGACACGATTGCTCATTTGGGCTCAAACGGGTCCTACTGGGACCTCGTAAAGAGGCCGCGTGCCGTGTAGGCTGCAAAGGTTGGTTCTTCTGGTCTTCACTTCTGCGAAACGCAACGTCTTAAACGCGGACAAACGTGGTCGTTGCTCTTGTCGTTGCTTTTAGGACGACGAGGATATTTGTTTGCTGGCACGAGTCCCGTGCAACTACTTTATTTTCTCCTGCTATTCTTGTCGTCGTCAGCAGCAGTTAACGCGGCGTGATGCACCTCCAGCTCTGGGCAGGCTTCCTCCTGTGGTCACGAGCCAAGTATGCTGGCTGCAGAGAAGGGATGCAAATTTTCACAGCTCGCGTCGACTGTAGGACAGAGGACGAGATCAGTATGTTCTCACGCTTCTCTCTTAGTGCCAGCATCTAATGATCCCTTGAACTTTTTCCTTTGTGCTAAATATCACCAAAATAATGTGTTTGTTTTTTTTTTTTCCTCCGTTCTCATGGTGATGAGAGTGGACGGAGTGCATCTGTCTGTCTTGCCTGCTCCACCTGTTCTTTTGTGTGCCACTGACCAGAACATGCTGAGAGTGTCCCTGTGCCCTCCGAGGCTCCCGTTCTGTGCTACCCTCATTACGTCGGATCTCTGGAATGGAATCAGTAAGAAACGTGCCTGTACTTATTTGCAAGTTTCTTTTTTCACCCAAGAGATCCTCAAATACCTCCTGTTCTGGAATGAGAAAGAATAGAAAATCAGCATCCAGTTTGCCATGGACCCCAAAGTTTTGATTTGCTATTGTTCAGTGATGATCACTGCTTTTTTTACTCAAGGTGTAGTTAATAGAGTATATCATCTGCAAAAGTAGATTTGGATTTATGTGTTAAGGGGATGGCCATTTCCTCAGTACTCAGTGACACCAGTCTGATTCTGCTCCCAAATGCAATCAAACAAGATTTATTCTCTCCCCTCATGCCCTTCACCCTCAAGAGATTTGCAGGTAGGTATGCCTAAATTTTCCTAGCAAAGTAATGCCAGAAATGTCTTAATTTTTTTTAGTAAGTTTTGTCTTTTTGTTTGTTTGTTTGTTTGTTTTCAGTGATCATAGTTGAGCTCAAAGAACTTGCTGTTTAACTACCAGATGTTCAGTTCTGGTTTTGGCAGAGCCTCACAGACCTAAGTTTCATTATCAGGACTGACATTTTTTTTAAATTTGCATTTTGGTGCAAATGTCTTATAGATGATCTATCTGATAACAGTAACAAATACAGATTAATATTATGGCTTTTTTTTTTAAACTATAAGTCATTCTCATTTTCTTTTGCTTTTTAAAACAGAAGCAAAGGCTGATGTAATGCTTCTGCCATCCTCTTGTTTTGTAAAATATTTGTTCATTCAAATATTATTTATTTACTCGTGACAATGAGTCACTAGTGGACAAATAGATCATTTACTCTGCTTGCAGTAGGTTAAATGTTGAAAGCTTACAAAGGGACTAGTTTTTTGGTTGTGTATCATTGCAGTTGATAATATCTGGGTGATATTTTTTCTGCTCACATAGCACAGGAAGGGAATTGGATTCAACCATCTCTTATTCCCACACGGTTCCATTCATTTCATTACAATTGTGGGAATAAGTCCCGAGTTGTTGAAAGAAGAGTGTTTAGAGTGTGTTTATTTACACTGTGATCCCTGTGCTTGAAAAATAAACAGGTCAGAACCGCTGCTAGAATGAAAAAGTTCAAAAGGGAAATTTTAGAGGCAAAGAAAACCTTCCAGGGCAGGAACTGGGCAGCTGTGGCTGAGCCCAGCACGAAGGTGGGTCCTTGTCCCGAGCAGGCGGCAGAGCGGCGCGTGCAGCTGTGCACAGCTGTGCGGGGCTGGAACGCTGCCGGAGCTTCCCGGGGCCACCCTCCTCCTCCTCTCCTGTGAGCTGGTGATGGTGGTAAGAGAAACACTGGTAGGTTCTCCTCTGTCTTATCATGGGGCTGTTGTTTTTTTTTTTTTTTCAAAATACACGTACAAAGCTCGAAGTGGTTAAAATGAGGAGATTGTTCCGATGGCAAATGCACGGAGCAGCCGCCCCGAGCAGGTGGCATCTCTGTCCTTCCAGGGGCCTTGTAGCCCCTTTAGGCACTGGAAGGTGCTGGAAGGTCTTCCTGAAGCCTTCTCTTCTCCAGGCTGAACAGCCCCAACTCTCTCAGCCTGTCTCCATAGCAGAGGTGCTCCAGCTTTTGCATCATCTTCGTGGCCTCTTCTGGACCTGCTCCAACAGCTCCATGTCCTTCTTGTGCTGAGGACCCCAGAGCTGAAGGCAGCACTGCAGGGGGGTCTCCCGAGAGCAGAGCAGAGGGGCAGAATCCCCTCCCTGACCTGCTGCTCACGCTGCTCTGGGTGCAGCCCAGGGCACAGTTGGCTTTCTGGGCTGCCAGCGCACGGTGCTGGCTCCTGGTGAGCTTCTCACCCACCAGCACTCCCAAGTCCTTCTCCTCAGGGCTGTTCTCAATCCATTCTCCACCTGTACTTGTGCTTGGGATGGCTCCACATGCAGGACCTTGTGTATGTATTTGAGAGTCCTGATAACAGTAAGCTTTTCTTTCTCAATCCCAGATTTAGGATCTTTTTAGGTGTCAGATTTGAAGTAAAATGCTGAAAGTTGTCACCCACAGTATAATTTAAAAATCCGTTACGTGCTATTGTGATGAAGCACCCTGGAAGACCAAAGAGGAGGAAGCATGAAAAAACTTTGCAATCTATTCAAGGCAAAGACTGATAGAGGGTGTTGTGACAGTGTCTCCTGCGATCCTTTTCCATAAGGTGATTGCTTGCAGACATCCCGACGGGTGTTGGGAGAGGGAGGGGAACCCGAGGAGAGCTGAGGCTCTGGCAGGAGCCCAACACTCAGCCAGGATTTGTCAAGTAGAGCCACCAAATCCCATCCTTTCCACCCCATCTTATGGTCAACGGCGTTCTGGGCCCAAAATCTATTGGGTGGATTTGTTGTTTTGTTTTGTGTTTTTTTTTTTCTGAAAGGAGGGAGAGAAGTACAGAAAATAAACATGTGTTTTCTCTGGCATGTTGTGGGTCAAGCTGGGAACATGGAAACCTAGCTCTAGTCCAGAACTTCTTGCCCTATCCCTAAATCTTCCTTAAGAAAAATATAGGAAAATAATCTTACTGACTTGACATTTTTGTTCGTTTTGATGCTAATGTCATTGCCTGAGTACATAGAAGAAACATCTGGTGGAAATGTTTTTTTCTGAAAAGTTGTTCTTTAGCTCTTTAAAATGCCATTGTCAAGTAACTGAGGCCTAAATTCCAGTTGGTGTAAAAATAATAGGAATATATTTTACATGTGTATTTTTTTTTATTATTATTTGCTGAGCACCATTAATTAATTCAACAATGCAGAAGTGCAGTTCCATGATCATGAGTGTGAAACTGAGGGCAAAGGGAAACAAGAGTGACTCATTGGGATTCATCTTTTTCAAATGTCTGAAATGAAGAAATAAATAAACAATCTGGATGGAATGAAGTTATAGTAACAGTAACCAAGTATTTAGTATTTACTGTTGGTTGACTTGAGAGAACTTCTCCTTCAGCTTAGACGAGCTCTCCATGACCCTTCCCTGCACATCCTTGCAGCTGGGTGTAGAACTTGGGCAGCTCATCGTGGTTCCTTGCGTTTCCCTGCTGGGACATGGCACCTGACTTTTAGGTGTTGTAGCCCCCAAGCTGGGTACCCAAGTGGAACTTTAAACTGAGATTTTTGCAGTGGTATATGTTTTTTTGGAGGATGAGCGAGTTCTGCATTGCATCTGTGAATGAACACTGGGTTCTTGAGCTATTTATATAGCACTGCATGTGAGCTGATATTGGACATACACCTTTCCACGTTATTTTACAAATGTATTATATTATTTTGAAAGAGCTGCTCGAGGGGCTCATACAGTGGCCAGAAGATTAAATTCTCTCCGTTTGGAGATCTGATAGCTCAGTCTGAAATATGTGATTATCATCTTTGAAAAGACTTCCAGCATGTTTTTAACGTAAAGCTGAAACAAAAGTTAGAGGTTGGTTAGTAGTGCAAATAATACTTTCTGGTTATTTTATTTGTATCTGCAGAATAAAAAACCTAACAGTGGAACTTAAAAGCAGACAAGATGAATTAAAAAATGTGAAAGAAGATTTGCGGTATTACCAAGAGGAAAAGGAAGCTGCCTATAAGCAGTCACAAGTGCTCAGGTAAGAACCAAAAAAAATGCTGATGTTGTGCCTCCTGTGAACACGTAGTCGAGAGGAGTTGGTGCACTGGGAGAACTGGGAGAACGCTGAGTGAGAAGGGTGTTTGTAACCATCCTGGCCTTTCGTGCTTTCCCTAATATCACAAGGTGCCGTAGTGTTTGCAGTTGTAACCAGAAAATATCACTGCTGATGTTACTTGCAACAGGAGAAGTTCTTCACAGATTTGAAAGCATTAATTAACACTGGAAAACAAGTGTGTGCCACTTGCTTGTAGTGCATTGGAAACACAGAATTTCTTGCATATATTGTTTATAAAGAGTTAACATCAGCTTGGACATACAGTCATTTAAACATGATTACTCCCATTTCTCAATAAAAAATGATCATACAGTTGTCTGTGCAGTTTTCTACATGTATACATATAAGTTCTAAATCAAGGTTTAGAGGGAAAAGCTTCTTATAAATGTATTCAATATACAGCATATTTAATTCACTAAATTATTGTAACCCAATATAATATAAATTGTCATATAACAGAAAAGTAGTTGTCAAGTCTCCAAGTTTACTAATAGTATTTTGTCATTTAAAAAATATACATCTGGCATTATTTTTCTGTCTTGCAGAAATACATTGGAACACCATTGCTCGACCCTGAACAAGGCTGTCTCACTGTTTCCTTTTGTTAGAAGTGAACTAGACAGTATTAAAGAAGTCATCTCCAGTAACCTGGAGAACTGGGCTGCTCTGAAAGAAGAAATTTTGCTACAAATCAAAACCATTAGCAAGGAAGCTTTGACAGGTAAATCATCTTGCAAGAATTTTGGGCAAGATAAAATATTTTTTTGGTAGTTGAGTGTAACGCAGGAAATCAGCAGGTAAAATTAATTAGATCATTTCTAATTCTGACATTAACTTGTCCAGATCTGAAGTATTAGAAGACCCTATATCTACTGCTGTGGCACCATGTGAGCTGAGTTGCTGTCGTATCAGTGCGCTGGACCGACTGGTTAGCCAAGTCAGACTGAGATGGAAGTAGTAGAAATACTTACTGTGGTTTGAAACAGAAGTACTATATTTACTATAAGTGCATGGACATGATTGCAACACGAAGACTTGGAGATATTTTAATTTGCCATCTGTCTCCTATTGCCGTTTTTTCACGCGTGCCGGCACCCACGCACGATATTAGCTGGCAACGGTGCAATGTCCTTTCGAGGAGCTGCCTGAGGGTCCTGCAGTGCCACGTCCCATCGTGTGGGCAGGCTGCACCTTTTCCCTTGAGCACCCTCCTGGTGCACGTGTCGCGTTGCCCTGAACGTGTGAGCTGCTGCATACGGGCAAACCTGCACCCAACGTGTACCAACGGCTCCCTCCGTCTGCCTCTGAACAAGAGCAAGTAACACCCAAATACAGCTGTCTGTATCTGAGGGGTCTTTGGGATTGGAAGGGGTGTGGAGCAGCCCGTGGGCTGAGAATAATTCACTTGGCCCCAGCCTGCTTCCTGCTCAAACAAGGGCAGCCTTCAGGAGGATTGAAGCTGGGAGCAAGTCACAACCGATGGCTTGTTCGTGAAGGTCGTGCCCAGCCCTCGGGCTGGTGGTTGGACTGGAAAACTCGGATTTACCCTTGGATATCATTTTTGCTCTGCCTCGGTTGAGAGATCAGTTTTGCTGAATAAAGCATGCAGTGGTGTCGTTACAGACTGCAACATCCACAGCATCCAAACAAGCCCTGTGTTGACTTTTGGAACTTTAATGGTCTTTGGATATAGTTTTCATACTCTTTCCGTGTAGTTTTTCAGTGTGCTCTGTGTGTATGAGTTGATAAGCTGCTATTTGCCCTGGAGGTTCCTTTTGTCAGGGCTATAAGGTGGCAGAGCAGTAGGTGAGCTGATGCCATGCTTTCTGCCCTTGTGAGAAGGGATGGGAGGGCATGGTGGGCGATGTGCATCTCCCAAACCACTCTGCTGCTGAAACCCTGTGAACCCCAGTGCAAATTCACGGCTCGGGTGAAACCTGCGTGGAGTATCTCAGAAAATACATAGCTTCGTTTTAAATAATAACTCCCTAGTAGCCCGTTCTGCCTATAAAAATTCTTTAGTATTCAGGTTTTGTCAGAACAATTAATAGAAATGTCAGTGTCAATATGGTGTGTTTTGATTCATGACCTCATCTCCTAATTAGACTGGGCACCGAAAGTGGTGTGTGTCCCGATGGATTCCCCTTCCTGTGCTCGTTCTCTGCCTGCTTTAGCTAACAAAGGGAACAGGAACACGTGTTTCTGCAGACACCTTCAGGTTCCAAGGGATTCGTAACATTTTAAGGCTTCTTTTCTGGAGTATCCCTTGGTTTATTTGGTGTAATACTGCAAATGTATAGAATACCTGTATGGAAGTGCAGCCTTTCAGGTTCATTTAGTGACCAGATGTCCCATCATACATGCCACGTGTCCCTGACTGCATTCAGCACATCCCACTGAGGGTAGTGCCACGCTGTGAATGTTGCATACAGCCTCACATCTAGCTTTCTAAAGCAAAACAATTTAGTCACACAGAGCTTTTTGGTGTTTTTTTTTTTTTTTTGTCTCCCTCAAAAGCTATTGTGTTCTGTTTTATGAGTTCTTCATTAACATATAGTAATTTTTTGTTTGTTTATTTTACTTCACTGGTTTTGCAACCAGATTTTCAGAGCTTGTTTTCCATGCAGATTTTCAGAAGAAAAATGTTACATGAGATGCTACTCTTTATGCCTAGACCAGTTTCCTTCATTAGTTTGAAAACAGCTCATGAAAGCCCTTGTATATGTACAGTATTTAGCCTTGGTTAATTAATGGCAAGTAGAAAGAAGAGTAAGAACTTAAAATCTTTTGGTATTTACATCACGTAGTCTAACAATAAATTGATTTAAGCGTGGAGTAGTTGGGAAGGATTGCAGGTCATGAAAATATTTGCACCACAAAGAATTTAAAATTTGAATGTGGGCAGCATGTAAAATGTATGTAATAGCTGACTTGGCAATAAAATCAGGCTTCATCTAACTTGAGCATCGTTATTATTAATGTAAATAAAAGCAATATAAGTTATTTGGACGTTTAGGGCTGTAGTTGGAGAAGGCATAGAAAAGAATTGCAACGACCTTTGGAAAAGTTCAAATGCACTCATAAAGGATAACTGAACTCAGGAAAAATTATGAAAATGCAGGAGACCTCCTATATATAATGAAGATGCACTTTGTGATTGAGTTTAACAGCAGTATTCATCTAAGGGGTGAGAAAATAAAATGTAATACAGATGGACAAACATCATCTGAACCAGCAGTTTCAAACTGAGCTTTAGCAGAGGCTGACTCCTTTGGTGTCTTCTCAAATTAATTTCAAAATGAGTCTGCAACTGTTTTTGTACGTCAGCAATGGTTTGTGTCTCTTCTTAAGATAAAAAGCTTGGATTCAAATATTTATGTCACCTATTGTTATTTCATTTGGAATATATACGTGTATTTTAATTTGGTTTTGAGACCTTTGAGAAGGTATATTATTTCTTAGAATAAAATTTGTATTATTTGTCAATAATATATGTTTGGCTAAGTACAAGAGGCATTGCACAAAGCCCTTTTTTTGGCCCTCTGTGTTCTCAGCAGAAGTGTTGCTGATGTACATGGCTTACGCTGATCCATACCCAAAGTGGGGCTACAGAATGCTCAAGTCCTAAGGTCATAAATCAGGTGTAATACTTTTTAATGAAGAAGGTAAATTTGACAAGTGTCTATATGATTTTTTTTTTTTCTTCCTCAGAAATACCCAAATTGAATCAAAGATTAGCAAAATCCCAGAGAGAGAACGAATGCCTCCAAGAAAAGGTGAAACATCTGACGCTGGTGGCCGACACGGTTGAGCTGAAAACTCAACAGCTTCAAACTTCACTTCAGCAAGGGAATGAGCTACAAAGTAGATGTCGAGAACTACAAAAGGAAACGTTAGGTAAGAGAATTTTGACATTTCAAGCAAACTTCTATGTAAAGTGAAATGCAAAACCATTTTTTTTAAAAGCACCAAAGTTGTGGCCGTTACTGTGAAAGTGCTCATCAGCCAGACTCAGGCCCGGGTGAGATGTGGGCGTTGTGTCATGATGTCAGACAGACAGAACGTCATTGAGGGGTCTGTTACCCTGCTGGGAACACGAGTCAGCGGAGAGGGGTGAGAAGTGAAGGAAGGGAGGAAAACAGTGAGGATGGTGGTAATACAGTTGTGCTGTTACCCGTCAGTCTTACGTACAACATCAGGCAGAAGGCTCTGAGATCAAAACTAAAAGAAATGCTTTCCTTTTGAGTGGAAGGCAGGCAGGACTTTTGGCTATCAGCAACAGAACTTGAAAAGCAGGTCAGGCTAAGCCAGTCTCTTTTCTCCTAGATTCATTAAAGTTGAGTCTGTCTGATGATTTGCCCTTGGTAACGTGTCGCAAGAATCTGGAGAGTCCTCTTGAAAGCTGTAAGAGTGGTGACAGTGCTTGAAATTATGTTATCTTGTGAGCTTTGTTGAGACAATAGTGCATTACAAGGTTATTTGTGTTAATGCCTCTTGAATCTCTTTTCAAAGCAGTATTGCATTCCTAGTGCTGGCTCAGAGACATTTTGAAGACCTTCAGAACGTATAGAGGTTGTGCTGTTCTGGGCACAGTTCTGAGTCATCAAGTTGGCACGGTGATTACCGTGCTGCCTTATGCACGGTGTGTAACGTCAAATGAAGGAATTCCACTGATCCTTCAATATCAGTGATAATAAAAAAGGTGAGAGTGCAAAGTAGAAGACCACAGGTACCATCCCATGGGTTACCAACCCGTGCTGCTGAGGGCAGTCTTTATTTTTGTCACTGTATGACAGTGCTGTTAGGAAAGCTCCAGCAGTGATGTGAGTGGCAGAAATGAGCAGATAACTCTACATCATTTTCCAGATAGTGTCCATATAAGAAATAGACTTAATAAGTCTTCGTTTTTGTGGCATTTGTTCAAAAAACTAACTTTAAATGAACGCAAAATCAGATTTTGATCAGACAAGGTTATTCTGCGGGCTGTTCACAGCATCCACTTTTGTCTTTTTTTTTTTTCTTGGGGAGCTGCTGACTGTTCCAGTATCTCAAAAACTTGCCCGTGACATTTTTGGTAGGCTCGTTGTCTGATTGTAGCTACTTCTTGATGCATAGCCCTCCACTCAGAGTAAACTCTGGCAGGCAAGTTTTGGGGAGAGGGCTGCCTTAAACGTGTTTAGCTCAGTCCTTAGCCACAGGATCTTGTTCTGAAGACCTGAGTAAACAAAAGGAAACGAATTGATTCTGTTTAAACTTCCTTTTTCAAGACAATCTTGAACACACTGTTGAACAGTGTGAAAATTTATACCTTTTTGTTTGGCTTGTATGTAAAATCACCAGGAGAGATTATTTTAGGAGGCATGAAGTAAAATGCTGGTAGTACATAAACAGTATCTGCTGTAATAATACATGTATAATATGTATTATTTTACCCAGGCACTTGTCTTGGATACATATATAATAATAAAAGAGCCAAAACCTCAAGTAAGCTCAATATAATTTGCTAGAAAAGGCAAAAGTGAAAGAATTAACTAGTTGCACTGGTTAACTAAATCACATTGCTTGTCTCAAGAGCGTAGGGTTGCCCATGGCTCCTCATGTTTTGCTTGAAATTTATTGGAAAAAATGCTAAAAATGCAGTCGTTTCTTTTCAAAAGACAAGTGTGTTTCTCCTCCGTTAAGAGATTCATGTTTTATCCAAATAATCTGTGTACGTGTGTAACTGCCAGGTTTGACTGTTACAATGCCACAGTCCAAAATTTGGAAATTATATACTTGAGAATATTGTTTGTGTTTTGTTTCGTTGCATAAAAGTGCAATGTGCCAATAATTGCAATGATTTGTATGTCACTTCGAGGATGATTGTCACAGATACTCCGTTCAGAATCCATGTACCAATTTTTGGGGCTCGTTACATTCTTAGGAGTATCATGTATCAGTTCTTTAAGAAGCAGTGGACGTAAGATGCTCATTTTGCCCTCCTACTTGGCTTTCTTCTGTGTTCAGTATAGCTGGAAAACTTATTTCCACTTTCTTTTTGAATATCTCATCCTCTGTCTTTGTATAAATAGACACAAGTAGCAATAGTAAGTCGTAAGCAGTTAGATTATTTATTCTGTACCTTTCCCTGCAATATTCAGAATGGGTCTACCACCTGCCTGCCTTGAGGACAATATAGTTAAGTTCAACATGCATTTTTTTTTTAGGTGGAAAAATGAGTCAAAATACAATCATCTCAGTGCAAAAATAGCGCCTTCTCAAGCATACTTTGACATTTCATTTGTGTTGATGAGCGTTTTCATTTTATTTTTGTAATACGAAGTAAAAAACTCGTGGATGACACAGTCTGGTATGCAGACTGTTGTAGTTCCTTAGGAACAGTCATAGAATCATAAAATCACAGACTGGTTTGGGTTGGAAGGGACCTCAAAGATCATCCAGTTCCAACCCCCTGCCATGGGCAGGGACACCCTCCACCACGCCAGGTTGCCCAAAGCCTCATCCAAAACTGTGGATTTTGTTTCGAAGTCGCCGTGTTCAGTGTAACTCCGATAACTTTGCCCATGACTGAGGTTGGTGTTTCTGGTGATGTGGCAGTCCGTGGGCATGGGCAGCTGCCAGGGAGTCCGGCAAATTCCCAGGGCATTCGTGGGAGCTGAAATGTTGGCCCTCCCTGCAGCTGCAGGAAGGTGGGAGTCCATGTAGTTCAGTATCGTGTCCTCGCTGCTGAAACACGTGGTGGGCTTCAAAGGAAGGAGCAGGAGCTCTGGAATAGCAATTAGAGGATGACCTGTCTTCCTTGCAGGTCTTGTCTTGATCTGGGTGGTCCTTGAGCCTAATAAGACAGTCTTTTACGCTATGAAATACGGGGTTTAATATCATGACAGAAGGTATTAGTATCATAACATTTATGCTGCTATGAAAACTACCCTTAGTTTAAGTTCCCTTTTTGGTTTTGCAAAGCTCTTTACTTCAGAGGTTCCTGTAAACAATGAGTTCGCAGTTTCTTCACGTGCATTGTAAAAATACACTTTCTCCTTCAGTTTTCCCCACCTCTAACTCCATGGAGAATTGTCTTGTTCTTATGTTGGAAGACCAGAGGAAGATGCTTGCAGTCTGTAATTTTTTTTTTTTTTTATTATTTT